TCCGATGATGCGGGCGCCTTCTGGGCTGTTCTGGGAGAAGTCCTCAAGTCGAGAATCAGGCCCATCTTTGCCAAAACGAAGAACCCGGCTATCACGCCGGGGGGTCGCAAGAATTTTCATCCAACGCCTGTGCCCAGATGGGACGCCAGTGTTATGGATCAAGAGATGAAGCCGTGGAAGTTTCAGGATGTCTATGCTACGACAGTGCTTGATTGGGCTCTGTCTCGGTTTCTTGTACGTGCCTGTCGCCTAGTTTTGTGGTTTTCACGTGCACAGGGACACTCTATCTTGCTGACTTTCTTCCAGCCATCAGATTTCGCTCACTTGGAGGCTCATTTCCCGCTTCTCGTTCCACCGATCTTATCTCTGATCGACGACGAAAGCTTGGCCTTCAAGACCCGCGGCTGCAATCTTCTCTCAAAGTTTCTGATCCCCATCCGGGAATGCCGGTCCGATCTCCTTCATCGGACGAACCTTTCCTCCGTCTTTGACGACGCGCTGGCGCCGTGCCTTTTGTCCATTCCTACGATCACCCCCGAGGACGAGTCTCTGCAGTTACTTGGAGCGGCGTACCCGACTCTCCTCTCGGTGCTCCAGACTCGTTATCACCGGTATCCTTCAGACAAAGAGTCTGCAACGGCGTCATCCTCGCAAGAGGAGGAGAACAAGACAGCATACATCAGCCGCGTCGCCAGCGTCCTGCGAAACAACGTAATACCGTCCTTCCACCACGTCAGCTCGACCACACCCAGCGCGGCATCGTCGCTAGCATCGTTCCCATATCCGCGGCTCTCAGCCTTCCTTCTCAGGCAGATGGCCACCTTCTCGTTTGAACTCGGCATCCACACGACAAAGTACCTGCAGGAGCTCATCCCGCCCATTTACAGCACCCTGACCAACCCCTTCGGCACGGGCTACCCCCCGCTTCTCCTCGCCGGCGTCGCCGCCGCGCGGGCCGTCATTTTGAACGCGCACCCTCGCATCTGGCGCTTCCGCGGCGAGCTCCTAGGCGGGTTTTGTGATTGCTGGGTTCACGTCCTCGACGAAGAGAAGAACCAGACTGAGATCGAGACACGAGCGCGTGAGCGTGCGCGTGCACGTCCTAGCACCAGCACTCTTAGTACTGATACTTCCTCGAAAGAAAAAACCCTCCTAACCGCCCTATCCAAGCTAAAAAAACAACTAAAGGGAGCCGTCTACCTGCTGAAAGTGTCCGTGGATGCAGTCACGAATACTCCTGCCGACGGCGAAAGCGAGGAAAACTGGACAGGAGTAGAAGAAGACGTGAATAATATCGAAAAAGAATGCGAAGACCTTTCTAAAGCAGATGAGCAGTTGAGGGAGTTGCTTTTTGGGGAGAGCCCTGACGATATCCCTGACGACGACGATGGCAATAATGATGATTATGATGATGGTCATGATTGATACTTTTGATGTATATTATTACGTACGGGTACTGTATTGTCGTAATTTATTACTTTTTTTTTTTGAGTTCAGGCTCGACTTCAACTACGAGAACCGGGAATACTATTGAATACTATTGTTTAAAACAAGACGCATGTTTATTACATATCTATCTACCTACTTATCTACGTACAGTACACACATACATACAGGACGTACGTCATGGGTATCATGAATGAATATCATGAAATAAATAAACAAACAAACAAGTAAATACATCATCCATAACCATCCATCCATAACCCATCATGTATGTATGTACATAGCGTGACATATCATATCTCTCGTATACCATATATCCCAAAAACAAATCAAAAACAAAACAAAACCAAAAGGAATCCCTAGATGATCACGTCTCAACCCTCTGCTTAAACAAACTCTTCCCCCTCAACCACTGCCGATACCGCTTATAGCGCTTCTTATCATAGTCCTCCGCTACGACCGTCAGCCCTTCCTCGGAGACATTCAAATACTCGACATAGTCCCTCAGGTCCTCCTCGGCGATGGGGCTAAAAAGTTCGTCCGCCACGCGCACCTTGTTGACGTACTCGAGGAACTCGAGGTTGGAGCCCTGCGCGCGGATGGATGCCGCTGCGGCCAGGGCGTCGTCGGATGTTACGACGAGCGGTACTTTGAGGGGGTGGTTGATGTAGCGCTCGTATTCTTCGGCTTCGGTGGCGGTTACGGAGGGATTGAGGGAGTCTTTGACGAGTTGGTCGAGGGTCCACTGCGCGATTTGCGCTTTGCTGGGAGTGCTGGCAGCCGGCGGGATGGCGGCTGCGGCGTCTTTCATGATCCCCGTCGAGGGCGGGCGCCTCTCCGCTGACGGAGGCTGATGCTGCCAGTTTTGCTCTATAATATCGGACCCCCTGCCCGACCCGTTGGAGTAGTCGCTGGAGGCTTCCGGTTCCTGGATCTTCACGCCCTTCCTCGACTGCCGCGCGGGTCGTTCCCGACTCGTTTGCTCGTGCTGCGTCCGGACGACGAACGGACTCAGGTCGTAGCGACCGCCCTGCGTAGAGCGGAAGGACAGGTACCGCAGGGTCGAGTTCATGCGGAACGGAAAGACTTTAGAAAACGACGACACGGCAAGCGGTCGGTAGTATTCGAGCCAGTAGTCATCGTAATACGCGAGATGCTTGTCCTTGAGAGCCGAGGACGACACCGTAGGCGCCATCTCTCGCTTCTTCAGGAATTCTGGCGTGTACCAAGTGATGTAGTTGGGCCTCTTCTGCTTCAACCAGGTCCGCGGGTCCGCATGGTGCAGGTAATAGTCGGTGGCCAGGTCCCAGAGCATCGGCTGGCCCTGGGAGAAGATGTAGTTTCCGAGGAAGAGGTTGTAGGCTTCTTGACGCTGGGCGTCTAGAAAGGAGTTATTGTAGTATCTCTTAACACTCTCCACCATATCTCTCGACTGGCTCGTCCACTGGTTCATTTTTCGGTACGTGGCCATCGTATTGACAAGGTGCGAGCCGCCGTATTGGATCGCAATCGTGTCCCCGTGGTCATGCCACATATTCGTGAAGAGATTCACGGCGTCCGTGTCGTACTCCACTTCCGTCCCATCGATGACGCCCAGAGCGTGAAGCTGATACCCCAGAGCCCTCTTGCCGATGACGAATTGAGCCGCATTGGTGCGGTCGAGGCAGTCGATGCAGTTCGTGCGCGCAACGCCGTTCTGCAGCCGCAAGCCCGATTCCTCGTCGTCTCCGTTTTTGAAGAAGCCCGTTTTGGGAAGAATATCCGAGGCGATGTCCTCCAACGTCCCGATCACGTTTTGGTCGCGGCTCTTCGCTGCGCGACTCATGTCCCACGCCTTGTAGATGATCTTCTTATCTTCAGGCAGGAACTGGTTGAGGTAGTTGATGGCATTGGTGTATTCTTTGAGCAGTTTGGATTCCCTCGGCGTCCGTTCTCTTGACTTGACCAGATTCAGCACGTATATCGGTGCCCCATATCTCTCAAATAAGTTGTCAAAGTGCAACGCCGCAGCAGAGTAAAATGGATCGATCAGGTTGAGCTCGATGTCCGGCTTGGGGCTCACGCCGGTGCTGTCCTGTGTCCAGTGCAGCGGGATACTGCCCCGATGCTGTACATACGAAGTGTACCGAGGATTGGCGTACAACTTCGGACCCGGAGAATGGAAGGAAGTCGTGGTCATCTCGGAGACAATCTGCTCGGTTTCGACATCGTTGGCCACATACCCCAGATCATTGGCCCCGCGTTTCAAGAAACGGGCACCGGCGAAGAATCGCGACCGACGGGCGATGATGGTAATGAAGACTTGTCTCCCGTAAACCGACAAGGTCGACTGATCAACATAGCCATGGATGATGGGGAGACACCAGTCATAGGTGTTCTTCCCGAGATTTGCGGCAGCCGGATTGAGAAGATGATGGTTCCAGACAAACATTGAGTTATGGTCGTGCTCTGGAAGACTGTGCGGGTTCTTTTGCAGATGCTGACGTTCCCGAGCAATGTTGTGCTGCAACGTCCGCGTTATGTCGTAGGAGTAGCTGAAATAAAAGGAGCGCGTGAGGTCGAGATTGTTCAATATCCCGATGTACCGCGCCTCCTCGGGATTCTTCTCCGGCTTCAGTCGGGACGAGGTGGACGTCGTCAGCGAGACCAGCTCCGTGCCGTCGATCTGATAGACATAATGGCCGCCAATCATGGCCACCTGGCTTCTCTTGGTGACCAGCAGCATGTAGTACGGTCCTGTAAACCGGATGAAGCCCAGCAGACCCCATGCGCTACATTTCAGCTTCAACCCTCCGGAGCTCTTGTTCCCATCGTCAATGGTATCCAGCAGGTGGCTCATTTCCTGCTTGGTGTAGACGATGCCGTCGTCCTGGATGCTCAGGTCTTCCGATTCCGACGTGCGGTCGATCTTCAGGATCCGAAACCGCGTGTCCAGCAGATCCATGCCAACCATGTAGTATTTGGTGGCGGTCTCGTACAGCGAGAATTTGTGCATCCGCACGACCCCTTCTTCGCCGACTTTTTCGTAGCTCGCCGTTCTGCTCCGCTGGGCCGGAGGCACGGGGGAGCCGGCTCGGTCGAAAGACGAGGCTATCGGGGGCTCCTCGTCGCCGCCCTCGGCATCGTCTTCGATGATGCCTTCGTCTGACGCGACCGGGTGGTTGTAGGACAGCTGGGGAAAGGACGGGCCCTGCGCGGACCGGTCGAGGTCGTCATCGTGAACCACCGTGCTCGTAGCCGATGCCGGCTGCTCCGGGGAGGGATCGCTCACGGCCTGCTTGCCGGCGGGTTCTCTGCTCGCCAGGACTGTATCTGAACGCGAGGTTTTCAAAGCGTCCGCTGGCGTCGACTGCGCACGCGACGAGGGCGACTCGACCGCAATAGACTCGGCGGAGGTGTTGACGGCGCGGCACACCTCGTCCAGGCTCTCCATCGTTGGCCTCGTCCCAGCAATTCATTTGCTAGGATGCAGTATCGTAGCGATATAAGATCATTGTTGCGTAGAAATAGAATGGCTGGCTGGTGGATGACATTGACATGCTGGAGATGGAGATGTCGGAGATGACGTTGCGGTGAAGTTAGTGTCATGTGATGGCGGCCTCAGGCAGAAAGAGTCACGAGTCACGCAGGCGAAAAGAAACACTTCGACTACCATTGAGTCACTTTAGATGAAATCCAACTCTAGAGGACAGCATGAGAAGAAAATTACAAATGTTACACAAGTAGCGGTGGTCGCACCAACCTATGTACATACATACAAGACAGTACAGTACTCGATTGATATGCAAAAATTGTGGACGTACATCATGAATATTCAAAGTTTGGCCGCATTTTTCAACGCCTTCTGTCGAACCCGGAGAGCCTTCATCTCCTCTTGAAGCGCAAGACCCATCAGGATCTCTTCGCTGCCTCCTCCCACCACGTGCACACGCACGTCGCGACTGATCTGCTCGACCCGGGCGCCTTTGCCGGCCTTGTTGTAGCCAGCGCCTCCCATTATCTGCTGGGCTTCGCGGACGCACTTCTCCAGTGCCCGCGTGGCCATCACTTTGAGCAGCGCCGTCATGCCCCCGATGTTGACCTCGTGGTCGGGCCGGTCCTTGCTGGACTCGATGATGTAGACCAGCTGCTCCATAAAGGACTGCACGGGCTCGATGAGGAGGCCGAATTTGAAGATCTTGGACTGGATCACCTGTTCGCGTAATGAGAGGGGCGCCGAACGTCTCTCGCTGGGTGGCGTAATTGAAGGCGTCCTCGGCGCAGACTCGGGCGAGTCGAAGAGCTGCGCAGGCCAGATTCAGACGTTCGGGATTGAAGTCTGTTAAACAGCGTTAAAAGAATTCCTCATATCGTATCGATCCACTCACTGGACATGATGATCTGAAACCCCTCGTTTTCTTGCCCGATCAGGTTGTCGACTGGGACTCGAACATTGTCGAATTCGAGAAAGGCAGAGCCTGACATCAATCACATCGTCAGTCGAAGAAGAAGAATGATTTGGGGCGACATACCGCTCGCATGGACTCCAGAATTGTACATTCGCTTGCGAGTGACGCCCTTCGCGTTGAGAGGAATGACAAGCACGCTGACTCCCTTTCGTCCTGGTCCGCCAGTGCGCACCGCAGCGGTGCAGTAGTCGGCCCAGATGCCGTTGGTGATCCATTTCTTTGCGCCGTTGACGATGTAGTGGTCTCCCTCTCTTCGCGCGGTTGTGCTGATGTTGGCAACGTCCGATCCAGCTAGAAGCAGTATTAGTATGTGCAGTACATACATATATAAGGCTTGTTCCGGACGAAGAGTCCTCACCATCAGGCTCCGTGATGCCCAAACAGAATCTCAGCTCGCCCTTCGCGACGCCCGGCAGCCAGCGGCGTCTCTGCTCTGGCGAGCCAAATCGCGCAATGGGCGGGCATCCGATGGCATTGCCGCCGCCCAGCCCCCAAATGACGCCGATAAACCCCACGCGAGCCAGTTCGTCGGTCACGATGAGCGAGCACCAGGTATCCCACCGGTCGCGGGGCACGTTTCCCGGGAGCGACAGGCCGGCGGCGTCTTCGGGCGTGGTCAGCGGATGGACGATGTTGAAGCCCAGCGCGCAGTGGCGGAGGCGCACCGACTCTGGCACCTCGCCAGCAGCTTCCCAGTCCTGGGCATAGGGGGCGATGGATGATTCTACGTAGTCGCGGACGTAGGCGCGCAGGTTGCGGTGGAGGTCGGTGTAGTAGGGATTGTCGATGTCGAGCTGGGGGAGGAGAGGCTCGCTGTAGGGGGCCGTCACGGGGCGTCGCGTCATGGTGAACTCGGTCTACAGGCACGAATAATTGCTATGGCATGACTGTATGACAGATTTAAGAAGGACCTCTACAGCTAGGGTGGAGAGAATTAGTTGCAGCTGACTGTTGCAGCTGTAAGTTGTAACGCGGGGATCGAGATGCCTCGGAATTGCCTGCAATACTCGGCAAGACACATCTGCATCCCAACAGCCAATTCATGCACATGCAGTGCTATCTCGTATCTAATCACAGCCATGGCGTGCTACCCAGATGGGACAGGAATGTTTACTGGAAGCATAGGAGGTATATCCTACTGTACCCTCTTTAAACTTACCATGCTGACACTACTCCAGTAGACAATAGTGAAGAACAAGGTCCAAGAAATCCCCAATAAAAATTGTATTTCCCTTAGTTCCCTGAAATTGATAATGTACCTGGTAAGATTGTGTCGTAAGTTCAATGGTATCGCTGGATTCTTCAGACAGACAGTCGAGCGAAAGTCAGACTGCTTGCTTCACTGATCAGTTGCCATGGCGCACTGAATTCAACCCATCACTTGGTACGAGCAAGATGAGAGCCATTCCAGATTGCATACTCATTCATTTCGATCGTTGGAACCTGAGAATGAGTCCAGTTCAACTCAGCAACCACAACACCCACCATCCCACCCAGAGAAGCCACACAACAGCCAGCACCGCCAGCACAATCCCCCCGAAAAACATCAACCAGCTGTACTTGTTGTCCCTGGAGCTGCGCAGGAGTCCGCGCGACACTCCCTCCTCCCCATACTCCTCACCCTCGACCAGGCAGATATCGCACGGCCGGGCCAACGGCACGCTCACAAAGCGCCATCTGCGCAGGGAGCAGAACTCGCCTGCCATGTAGGCGTCCTGGCAGGGCTGTCGGAGTGAATCGACCATGTGGGTGCAGGTGCCTAGGTAGACGACGTGGCGGCACATGATGATCTGAGTTTGATCGATCGATCGATTCCCTTGTTGAGCTGCTGAGCAGTGGGGAGTGAGCTCTGCTGTTGGTGGATGAGTTTGATAGGAAAAGAAAGGAAAGAGAAAGAGGTCTCTAGGTATGCAGGTACTGTAGGACACAGAACAGAGAACGTCGAGTGCTTGTGTCGAGTCCTATTTAAGTGAAATCCTCACACAAAGACATTGTCTGTTCATTGTCTGCCCACTGTGTCGAGACTTTTGTCTTGTTTGGAGATAGCCGTTCAATGAGGAGAGGTTGAATGGGTGTCTACTCCTTTCAAAGAACACAATGACGGGTTGTTGCTGCTGTTATTGTGTTGCTTGAAAGGGAAAAAAAAGGACAGAATGATGTGCGGTGAATTCGACGACATTTGCCATTTATTTCGACATAATATAATGTTGCAATGTATTTGTATTTGTTCGATGAGTAGAGTCTAAATGCAGATTCATAAAATTGTATAGTACATAGCTTAGGTCTATAAAATCCTCGTCGTAGATACTTCAAAATGGCCATCTAATCATTCTATCACTTTATTTCTGCCAGCGCCACCAGACTCTCCACACACCGCCGCACATCCTTGCACCCCCATCTCTTCCTCGAGTCTGGTTCTAGCATGCCCTTGATGCACGTCGACAGTGACTCTGCCACCGAGATGCCATCATCGCCCAGCACCACCCCTCCGCAGTCCACCTTCTCCGCAAAGTCTGCCGGGAGAATGGCGCCGGCATATCGCCCGCCGCCTCGCGTGAGATCGAACAGCACCATCTGGCGCTCCATTTTGGTGTTCAGCCGGTATACGAGCTCGAAGAGGATCACGCCCAGCGCAAAGACATCCAACTTCTCGTCAATCGTGTAGTGACTATCGTCGTGTTCATTCAGCCCGCCCTGCGGCATCGGCGGGCAGTAGAACTCCGTCCCGACATGTCGAACCTTCCGCGGACTGCTGTCTTGCACTACGACCGCACCGGTTGCTGCGTCAGAGGAGTCCGCACAGTGCTCTCGCGAGATATCCGCCACCAGGCCAAAGTCGCCGATTCTCGGGAAATAGGGATTTCGAACGTCTCCGCTCTCACGCTGGCATTTCGCGCACGAGTCGCGTGCGTCGTCTTGCACAGAGAGGAAAATGTTGGCCGGCTTGAGATCGCGATGGACGATGCCCTTGGAGTGAAGATATTCGACGCCAGACAGGATTCCCAGAAGGATCTTCAGGGACGGCAGGAGATGGAAGCAATGGCGCGGTGAGGGTGCGCGGTCGGCTTTGTTCCGGTGGCTGCTGGTCTGCGGATTCAAATAGGTGCTCAGAGTGAGAGGATGCAGTGACATTTGGATGTGCAAAACTACGGCTGGAGCGTGCGAGCCACCGCGGAACTTGAGCTGCATTCTGGACGGGTCTTCGCTTAACCCGTCCGTGAAGATGTCGCCCTCTGTTTCGTCCCAGGTCGATGTCCGAGTCAGTGCACTGGAGGGAATGCTGAAATTTCGCGGAATGGACTCGACGTCCTCCTCGTCGCCAAGACTATGATTCGAACTCCTCTTAGACCGATTCGATCGGTTTGACCGGTTCGACCCGGTGGTGAAGCGACTGCTGCGGCGTTGGTTTCCGCTCGAAGAGGTTTCCCTCTGCTGGCTGGATGCGGATTTGGAGCCGTCCTCAAACGATGCAGCTTCTGAATTTTCAAATACGATCCCAAAGCTCTGTTCCTCCTCTCCAGTCTCGTCATGTAGAATCTCAGTTCGAGACTGACTCTCGTCCAATGGCTGTTCGTCCGGAAATGTATGCGCTTGTTCCAACCAGGCGCTGTAGTAGCGTACGACGTTGGTATGTTCCAGGCGCGCCAGCGTCCGTATCTCCTTCATGATATGCTCCAGATGCTGGATGCCTCCCTGCTGCAACATCTGCAGCCTCCTTTTGCTCAACGGGATTTTCTTCACCGCGTAGTTCTGCCCGTCGACATGGTTCCGAACTTCGAAGACTTGTCCGAACGAACCCCGTCCAAGCACCTTTATCTCGGTGAATTCCACAGCATACCTAGACGAGCGGTCAACAACCGGAGCAGACGGAGCGCTTAGCAGTGGCAGAAGCGCTGAAGACTCCGACGGCGTGGCTGGCGGGAGCTGTAGCAGGTTCGTCAGGTTGACATGGTGTTCCAGACGCCCTCTATAATTTCCACTGCCTGGGATGCGTTTTTGCAGTTCCCAGCCTCCCTTATTCTGCGCAGAATCCTTTATGGCACCTCGAGAGGCTGGTTGTCCAGCGGAGGCATTGAGATTGATCCCTTCGAGGGCGGTCATGCCCAGCATGTCGAGACTGTCGCGATAATACTGCCTTGTCGATCCCCACTCTTCGCCGTCGATCCCGCCAGCCATGATCCCATGGGACGACAGAAATTGAGACTGGTACGCGTACATCTTCCTGCCGAGATATTTCACCTCTGGCGAATCGCGTGTGAACTGGCCGTGCGACCCTGGCTGCGCATTCAGAATGTCTGCTGCGCGGCTCAAGCAATAGAATTCAAGCAAGGCCGACGTCATGACGGTTGCGTGTCCCTCGGCGTCAAGGTCGAGCGCTGCGCCCAGGTCTTGTGCACTCCCAGGCTGGGCACTCCCAGGGGGAGTTTCCTGGTCTTCCACGAACTGGTCAAGGGCATCAAACAAGTCACCCTTCTCGACGTCGTCCGCCCCATGGTTGCTGTGCTCGTCGGAAGTAGTCTCCTCCACAAAGTCATTCTCATCTGAGCTTGATTCGGGATCTAAAGACGAGATATCTGCGGCAGACCGGAACATTGACATGTTGACAAGTTATTGTCAATGCAATCGCGGGGCAGTAAATTTTTTTGCAAGTTGGACAGCTACGTGGCCATCCACCCGATATAGACAACACTCCGCATTTATTTACGACTGGTGTCGCAAAACAAGAGAATGAGAACCAGAAGAGGCAATATTAGGCGGCTTCACCAGCAATTGCTGTGTTTTCCATCAGGTCTGCTATCTCAGTTCATAGTGACCTGCCTGCTGGGTGCATGCGAGGTTCAAAGGGACCGCCTCAACTCTGCATCACGGAATCAGAAGGCAGATCCACCAGATCAGTCTGCTGCAGTGTTCTGCTTGCGTGCAATTGAAATCCCAATCAACATAGTTCATTCAGTTTGGGTGGGTGGTTCAGCGGCGCTTCCATCAGGTTCTACGTTCTGCGAACCGTCGTCAAAGGGCGTATATGCAAGTGTCAGGTCTCAATTGGACATGCCTTTGTTTGCTCGCTCAGGCAGCAACCACGGGAAAAGAACAGATGGCTCCTCCGACATGACAACGCATCGGATGTCATGTTCGGCCCCTCCAGCTGCCTTGAAGCCACAAGTGATGAGTTGTGTGTGGGGTAGATGATTCAGCGGCGGTGAAGCTGAAGTTGGAAATTGATGCCTCAGGCAGCAGTAGGCTAACAACTACGCCAGTTGACTGGCAATAATGGATACCAAACTAGGCCATATAGTATTTCCCAAAATAATATACACGTAAACTGCCACTGGTAAATTACATCGCAAACAATCCAATCGCTTCTATGGGCCATTGAATAGCCTCGCGCCACGACGAGTCAAGTAGACTATAGATCGAATGGAGTAACTGGCGAGTCCAGCCTTTCAGCCACCAGCGATTGTCGAGCATATGCAAGAGAATGCAGTAGTGTGCCAAAATGACAATTGCCATCGGCCTCCGGTCCCGCAAGAGGGAGATATACAACGGCTTCAGGAAAATGGGCCACCTGAAAACCGTGACGGCGTCGATGCCAGAGTAGATCTTCTCGAATGAGACGGTTAACTCGGAGATGGCATCTTCGCAGACGGCCTGCTCATCGACCGAGAAGCCTGTTCGCCCCAAGTCCGCGTTGAGCTTGGATACCGCAGCGATTTTATCGCGCACGTCTGGAGGGATAGACCCGGGTTCGGCCGATCGTCCGAAGGCCAGGAGATCCGACACCCAGCTATTCTTGATCCATTCCCGTGCAGTCTCCAGAATCCCGTGGATTCCGCGGCATAAGTTGAAGATCTGCAGCATCTCATCAATGGGTGGTAAGGATTGCACGCCGGTCGACTGAGCGAATCCAAATGCTAGAACAGTCGCAATGCTGGAGAACGCGAACAGAGCCTGACAGTTCGAGGGATTGATATTATTCAGTTCCTTCCGGAACAACGCCAGTGCCAGGGTCTGATGGCTCGTGGCAAGCTCCACGTAGTCTTTGCATCGTTCGCTGCCTTTATTCAGATGGATTAGATGGAGCGCCGACAGAGCTAGGAGACCGTGCATGAGGAAAGGATGGGTAAGTGCTATCTTGGGCACCACGGTCTGAAAAGGAGCGGAAAAGGCCTCCCGCTCTGAAATCGTCTTGTAGCTGACGGTGGAGTAGTGATGCATAAGTTCCAGGTCGTGCAGATGGAGATCAGATGCAAGACGTCCATCGCGCTGATGCGCCGAAGGATCAAGGATATAAAGCGGATCCGACTCAGGTGAAGCAGCCACCGAAGACGGTGTGCGACTGGAAAGCTCACTTTCCGTGTTATTTGGTGATCTGATGCTGTGAGCATCCGAAGCCCCCAGCTCAGCTGCGGCGAATTGGGCCAACAGCCGGCTTTTGACGGGAGACATGGAGTAGACACAATCTATCTTGTGCCTAAGGCAATTATTGCAGCTGGGAGCTTTTTCATCACACTTAAGAGGACGTCAAAAAAGAGCTGACAAACAATGCGCCGGAGCCACGCACCTTGATTCTCCGTTTCTTGCACTGGATGCATCCCAGCCTGCTCTTCGTATGTGCCCGTCGGGTCCTCATTGCTCCGTCTCGCGTGCGAATGTTGCCCATGGAATACCTCCTTTACAGGTGCATCAGCGAATCCCTATGGAAAGATCATAGGGCCGCAGTCCGGTTTGAACCAGGGGCCCTTCAGCCACCATACCACTTGGTAGTTGCCTGAGATCGATTCTGTCAAATAAATGCTGTATTGCCTCAGTTCGTATCTACCCAAAATTATATGTAAATCAAAAGATAAACAAAAGATAAACACTATTGCGTACGGGCTGATGGATCTTGATATAGGACAGCAAATGCTCCTTGTCCGGTTTGAATCGTAATTGCTCGTAATAATACAGGGCTGTGGTTGGCAGATGGCGGTGATGACATCGACTTCCCGGCGAGCCCTGATTGGCCGATCAGCCTGGTGCAGTCGCGTCACGTGACATGTCACGCGTAAAGTGTCGTCACGTCCAGGCGCGACCGAGACACGCTCCAACAGGAAAGGAAATCGCGCGCCTCCGACGAGCTCCGGGACAGCGAGAGAGATCCCATCCATGACTGCGTCTCTTCTGGCAATCTGCACCCTACGGCCACTTCAGGATCTCTCATCACCCCATCCTGGGGCTTCGTTCAATTGCCACCATGTCTGAAACCGTCGTGAAGCCCCAGAAGCGCATCCTGGCGGATGCCACCATGACCTCCGGGAACGTGATGCCGAACAACACGCCCAAGAAGCGAAAGCTGGAGCTAGATGAGCCTGCGGTCAACCTGAGTGTGCCTCCGCGGAGCAGTGGAGCCAAGGCCTTCGGCTCGAGTCAGCCGCAACAGAAAAGCCAGTTCGAAAAGGATCTGGAGAAATTGACCCAGGACATCAGCGGGCTCAAAGAGAAGAATTCGGAGAAGGATCAGCAATGGGAACGGCCGCCGCTGGAAGATTTCAACGAGACGAGGGATGATATCTGCTTTCAGCAGATCGATGCCGAGGAAGGAACTCTCCAAGGTGGTAAGACCACTGTCAGGCTCTTCGGCGTCACAGAGGTAGGTGCTGTTGGTTATTCTCGTCCGATGTCACTTCTACTAACACTGCTCCAAGAAAGGGCATTCGGTCCTGCTTCATGTCACTGGATTTCAGCACTATCTATATATCGCCGCTCCTGTGAATTTCACCAAAGAGGACTGCGAACCCTTCCGGGCATTTCTGGAGAGCAAGCTGGGCCAGTTCCAACCAATGATCCAATCTGTCCAGATAGTGATGAGAGAAAACCTGTACGGGTTTCAGGGGAACCAAAAGAGCTATTATCTCAAGATCACCGTGACGGAGCCGAGACATATCAGCAAATTACGGAATGCTCTGGAGAGAAACATCCAAAGCATCAACTACAAGAACATGTGGAAGTCCTCTTATGAAGGTATTGATACTTTTGACAACATTCAATATGTCCTCAGATTCATGATCGATACCGGGGTAAGCTTTCCTCTTTCGCGCGTCTCGAAAAAAAAAAACCGTGATGCTGATGTGCCCTCCTAGATTTCCGGGATGTCTTGGGTTGAAGCCAAAGCAGGCAAATACCGCCTTATCCCTCTGCATGAAAGGCAATCCAATTGTCAGATCGAAGCGGTTGTCGATTATCGTGATCTTATCGCGCATCCACACGATGGAGAGTGGGCAAAGATTGCACCGCTTCGAATCTTGTCTTTCGATATTGAGTGTGCGGGTCGCAAAGGCATCTTTCCGGAACCCAACCAGGACCCTGTTATCCAGATCGGGAATGTTGTTACTCGTTACGGAGAATCCAAGCCATTTATCCGGAACGTCTTTGTCTTGGACACTTGCAGTTTGATTGTCAACACCCAAATCCTCGAGTTCGACGATGAGGCAAAAATGCTGATGGCATGGAGGGATTTCCTTGAAAAGGTTGACCCTGACGTCATTATCGGCTATAACATTGCCAATTTCGACTTTCCATACCTGCTTGATCGAGCCAAACACCTCAAATGCACGGGTTTTCCTTATTGGTCGAGACTGAAGAACGTTCAGTCACAAGCAAAGGACACAAGCTTCTCCAGTAAGCAAATGGGAAATCGCGACACCAAAGCAACCAACACCAATGGTAGGATTCAGCTGGACCTTCTTCAACTGGTCCAGCGAGATTATCACCTGCGAAGCTACACCCTGAATTCTGTATGTGCCGAATTCCTAGGCGAGCAGAAGGAAGACGTCCACCACACGATGATCACGGAGTTGTTCAACGGTACTCCCGACTCTAGGAGGCGGCTGGCTATATATTGTCTTAAGGACGCATATCTCCCGCAAAGACTTATGGACAAGTTGATGTGTCTGGTCAATTACACGGAGATGGCGAGGGTGACGGGTGTGCCCTTCAACTACCTTCTGGCTCGTGGTCAGCAAGTCAAGTTTATTAGTCAACTCTTCCGCAAAGCTCGTGAGCAGCAACTGGTCATACCTAATATGAACAAACAGGACGAGCAAGAGTACGAAGGCGCCACTGTCATCGAACCGATCCGAGGCTATTATGATGTGCCGATCGCCACTCTCGACTTTGCGTCTCTGTATCCATCCATTATCCAAGCCCATAACCTGTGCTACACGACTTTGCTGAACAAGACTGCCGTGGAACGGTTTGGTTTGAAAAAGGACGAAGATTACATCGTCACCCCTAACGGTGACATGTTCTGTACTCCTAAGGTTCGAAAGGGCCTGTTGTCGCAGATTCTGGAAGAACTTCTGAGTGCCCGAAAACGCGCCAAGAAAGAACTGGCAATTGAGACCGATCCATTCAAGAAGGCAGTCCTGAACGGACGTCAGCTGGCGCTCAAGGTCAGCGCTAACAGTGTGTACGGTATCACGGGTGCAACGGTTGGAAAGCTTCCTTGCTTGGCTATCGCCAGTAGCACCACCAGTTACGGCCGTCAGATGATCGAGAAGACGAAAGCAGAGGTCGAAGCGAGATATACCATTGCGAATGGCTATTCGCACGATGCCCAGGTCATCTACGGTGATACCGACTCGGTCATGGTCAAATTCGGGGTCAAGACTCTCGAAGAAGCTATGAAACTCGGACAAGAGGCCGCTGACTACGTCTCATCGAAGTTTCCCAAACCCATCAAGCTGGAATTCGAGAAGGTGTACTTTCCGTACCTGCTCATCAACAAGAAGCGGTACGCAGGACTTTACTGGACGAACACGAAGAAATACGACAAGATGGACAGCAAGGGCATTGAGACTGTTCGACGAGATAACTGCCGGCTCGTCCAGACCGTCATCGAGACGGTCTTGCACAAGATCCTGATCGATAGAGATATCGATGGTGCACAGGAGTAAGAAGCCCTCGCCAATTGGTTAGTTCATGAAACCTAGCTAACTGCCGTTCGCAGGTATGTCAAGGAGACTATCTCGGATCTTCTGCAGAATAAGATCGACATGTCGAAGCTTGTGATCACAAAAGCACTCTCCAAGTCCGACTATACAGCCAAGCAAGCCCATGTCGAACTGGCTGAGCGCATGCGAAAGCGTGATGCGGGTTCAGCTCCGACCTTGGGTGACCGTGTGGCGTATGTCATCGTCAAAGGTGCTGGAGGTTCGAAAAATTACGAAAGGTCCGAAGATCCTATCTATGTGTTGGAAAACAACATCCCCATCGACACAAAGTACTACCTGGACAACCAGCTAGCAAACCCGCTTGGTCGTATCTTCGAGCCGATCCTGGGCGAGAAAAAGGCATCTCAGCTGCTCACTGGAGAGCACACGCGATCCATCTCTGTTGCAGCCTCCAGCGTTGGTGGACTAATGAAGTTTGCGAAGAAAACCCAGACCTGCATGGGCTGTAAAAAGCCTTTGGTTGGTAGAGACGAGATGGCCGGGGCTGTCTGTGAGGGCTGTCGGCCACGGATTGGCGAGCTGTACACAAAGACCTTGAAGAAGGTTTCGGAGCATGAAATCCGTTTCGGGCGGTTGTGGACGCAGTGCCAACGCTGTCAGGGCAGTCTGCACTGTGAAGTGATCTGTTCAGCCCGAGATTGCCCAATCTTCTACATGCGGATGAAAGCGAAGAAAGATGTCGAAGAAGCACAAAAAGAGCTGATGAGGTTTGATTACGATCTGGGGGCGTGGTGATTGGATGGAATGAGAGGTTCTATTTTGTGTATTCTCGAGGTACGGCGTTATGGAGGCGATACTTGTTAGATAATTCTTGTGTTGTTCCGGGCCTGTGGTCCTTGTGGGTTTGCAGATATTGTATAATCGTGTACCATCAGATATCATTTCACTTGAATTGAAGGCATGCTCTAGTAATGTGGACTGTGATTGTAATTAATGTAATTCTATAAGTTGGCCAGTTCTCAATTCCATGGAAAGGGACTGTTCGAGGTGGGTATAGTATGTATATCTGTATGTTCAGCAATACCACAAGAATTTGAGCACCTGAAGGCAGTAAGTAGATCTGGCAATATTAAACAGGTCCGAAAGCCATTTTATTCAGGTTGACTTTCCCTAGACAATTAATTCCATTTGGCATGCCAAGGCTGCTGCATACCATCTTAGTTCAGTGAGAGTGAGACTCCGCTGGCTAGTGCAAGCAAAAGATAGCCGCCAACTATTAAGACTCAATATAACCTCTAGTAATCGGTGCATGTAATCAGTGCCAACTATTTGCTGCCTTTTTTTTCTTTGATGAGAATGACTCGAACCTGGCGATACGCCCGCGGCATTTTTGCGTCTAACGACAATTTAAAGAAAATCCATTCTTACCTACCCTCAAGGCCGTGCTTTTTTCGCCTTCAACCAAGTTCTTCTTCCCAATCACCGCTTTTCTCGAATACCAATCGCAGAACAATGTCGCATGCCCTACAGTCGTTTCCAAGCACTGGCTTTGAGTTGATTGATCACTCTGAAAAGATTGAAGAGGAGACACTGCCTACTTACCAGGTAGAAAAGTACTATCCGGTTCGCATCGGGGAGGTGTCGAATAATTAGTATCAGGTGCTTGCGAAGCTGGGATATGGCGTTACATCTACGGTTTGGCTTTGTCGTGACTTGCGGTATATACACGAAAAGAAACCTGCTTTTTTGAGAAAATCTGACTAATTTTATGTGTGAAAAAGCAGTGAATCCAAATACGCGGTACTAAAAGTTTATGTCTCTGGTGAGCATGTACAGAGGAACCGTGAAATTAACATCTACAACCGCATCAATTCAGTGCAAACAACCCATCTAGGCAAATCCTTCATCCACAAGTTATTAGGGCACTTCTACATCGAAGGTCCTCATGGTCGTCGTCATATCTGCCTTGTCCACCAACCTCTTGGGCTTAGTGTGGAGCAATTCCTATCTTTTTTCCCCGAGAGAGTCCTGAGTATTGAAGATCTGAAGCCTTGTCTTAGGCAGATCCTAGGGGTTCTGGATTTCCTCCATGCTGAGGCTCGTATCATTCATACAGGTGAGAAATTTCTGTGTCAAAAAGAACAGTTCTCTGTTTTCAACAACTGATTCTTGTTGAAGGTCTCCAATTGAAGAACCTCTTGCTTCCTGCAGATGATCCACAGATATTCTCATCCATTGAAGAGGCAGAAATCGAAGAACCATCGCCTAGAAAAATACTCGATGACGGTCGAACAATATACTTGAGCAGACTACCTCTTCCAAGCAATGGGTTACCACTGCTCAGTGACTTTGGTGAAGCCCGATTTGGTGATGAGGAACATAATGAGGATATTATGCCAAACGTGTATAGGGAAAAAAAAAATGTCAACCATCTTCTCCGTGATTCTGTGATGTAAAAGGATTCACTTACTCACACGAAAAAAAGTTCCCCATACGTACGGATCGGTGAAGAATATCCTGTTGAAGATCTCCGGACTGCATCTGATTCTCCAATGGTCGAGGATTCTCGACAAGGGTATTTCGCTGCCGTTCTCGAAACCATCATCTGCCAGGATGGCATTTAGGCTGCCGGTAGGTACAATTGCTCCGCATGCATAGCAATAATCGGCGTCGTCATGGTCGTCATATCCCGTATCATCATTATTCATCTTGCTTTCTGTCTGTGATTACCCAACAGCTCGTGTTGTATTCTTCTGACTAATGTTTTAATGAGATTCGAAAATTCTGGTTTGAAAAACATTATAATCTTTCCAGCAAAGTTTCAAGACTTTTGCAGTGTGTCATTATGACATGTACATACATACACCTGAAATTGATTGTCGAATCAATCAAAGACGTAATTGTCAGATTCTCACGACCAAATTTAAAACTACCCGATTTAAGCTCAGAGAAAATTTAGTCATAGTAGTTACTACCTACACTACACTTTTTCAAGGAATTTATATAGAAGAAAGGACCAAGAATTATTTATATATAACTATAGTAAAAAATGCTGAAGGAATAGCAGCAGTCATCTCTCCAGAAAAGTCAACATTTGGTCATTTTTTTTGAAAAAAAAACTCCTGACAGGAGCTTCTATTTATAGTTGACAGTTGAAACTCAAAATTAATATAGAGGATGACTATAGCTACTTGTATCCAACAAGAACGCTTAAATTTGAAAACCTTAGATATGTCCACTATCATCTCTGGGATTATCACTATTATCGGCCTCCACAAGGAAAGAAATAGCATCCGGTTGACAGTTCAGCATATGCGGGTTTCTGGATTGCTTAATGGATTCACTAGTGTTTAACAGTTTATAATAATACATTATTATTATTTGAAACTAGATCTAGCGCCTTGACCGTCAAAGTGTCTGCCAGTGCTTGTAAATAGGCTGCAGCAGAGATATTTGGCATTAGCGAAATCAGCCTTGTATGTGCCTAAGCAGTTAGTTATAAGTAGCTTCCCTTCCAGGCCCCCGCAATCCAACAGGTAAGCAGCATCATCACTGCAATTTTCCATAACGAAGCAAGCTACTCTCTAGAGAATTTTACACGAACCAAACCATCGGAGTACGGTATACAATACCGCCCGACCGCTACAATACTCTATTATCTACTCCGATTCAATCAACTCACTATGATTGACCCACCAGCCAACCTATCGGACCCCTGGTACGAACAGATCACACGCAACTTCATTTTTACTGCCCAGGCCATACTCTTCTGCATGCTGCCGGCATTGTGTGCAATGTTTGCCGTCTTCTTCGTGGTTTTCTTCATCGTTGGTGCGATCGGGGTCCTTTACGACAAGATAATAAAAACCGGGGAGGAGAAAGATAAGAATAATAAGGAAGCTGTCGCGCTGAACATGAAAGCGACACTGGAGAACAGAGCCAAGATGGAGCGGTTGGAGCTGGAGATTCGGGTCTTGGGAGGAGATGGTTGGATGAGAAGAAGTGTGATCTGGAGATGCTGAAGGGAGATTCGAGGATTGAGAAAGGGGGCGAGAAAGAGAAAGAGAAAGAGGATGGTGATGATGGCAGCTCCTAGCTAAGCGACTGACTGGATTGGGGGCTTGAACAGTTCGCGATGGGCCGGTCAGGGATGAAGCAAAACTCCCCTGCATTTGAGATGTTTTGTGCATGTTGGATTTGATCGACCTTTACAGCGCCAGGTGCTATACTCCGTAGTTAACATCATCATCATCATGTACTGTACAGTACACTGACAATAGTATTTGATGCTTGAATGAATCAATCCTGACCTTAACCACGTACCTTGACACATCATATGTGTAAGCCAACCACACTGCCCCCTCAAGTATGCATGAATGCTTATTTAGTCTAGGTGAGTGTTGATCATCTTGCTAATACCATGTGTTGGTTTTGCTAAACTACCAACACTTATGAGTTGATGCCAATTTCACACAAAAATATCCAACTTTCAACAGAGTTTATTTACAGCAATGTTTTAACAGAGAACATCCAAGAACTTATAAGTTACAAAATAAAAGGTTAAAAATCCAGTCACAATCAAGCTTAACGAGGTATATTTGGCATCACATGTGACAACACCCACAGCCAACATCCTTAATTCCACATCTGTCCCTGATCGGCCCGTGGCAGCTGGTGCCTGGCGCCGATCCAACACCATCCTACGGAGTAGGATAGAGGTAACTTCTTGCGCGGCTCGACCCTCACTCGACCATGCCATCGCTTTTTTGTTCTGCCATTTTGGAGGAATATCCTGAGATGTTGGTAAGCGTGTCTATATAAAGATGATTATTCCCATTTTTCTTCTAATTCAAGTGCCGTATACCTACCTACCTAAGGTATCTGAATGGAGTGGATACTGAAAAGAAAGTTGAGTCCATTCCCAGGATGGACTAGTCGGTACTAAATTTAGGGTGTGTGCCGCGAGGCTTGGCGCTCCGCAGCGATCCGCTCCGCGACCCACCTCCACGTCGGCCAGTTCTTGGTACTTACGGAGTACTGCATTCTATCAATAAATCGACCGTGATAAGCACAGTCCAACAGTCTGATTACCAATCGCGAATGCATGTCCATTTCAAAGACCTGAATAGCTCAAATTCATCAATTTATCAGAAAATGGACGCAGCAGAAGGCCAGAAAAAGGCCGTTCTCGGCTTCCGAGCGGCTTTCAAGAGTGCCCCATGGATCCCGATATCGAAAATGCAGGCCCAGTCGTTCCGTGAACGACCGTTGAAGGGACCCATCTTGGTCAGCAAGGTCAAGATTCCCCGTCCGAATGACGAGGAGGAAGAAGCTTTACGTTCCAAGCTATGGGACGTCTTCAAATCCAAGAGTGAAGGGGTGGAGAAGCTCGACCCTCCAGCGCCTTGTGCCAGCTCCTACGATGGTGAATGGATAGGAGTGAGAAGAGATGTGAAAGATCCAAAAGCTCCACCGCCAGATGTGAGCGAGCAGGAAAAGTTCCACGGCATTCAGCAGAACCGACAGAACGATATCACACTCTCTTCTACGTATCCGGAGGCGCGTGGTTGTAAGTTGACACACACACCAGTCCATCTCCAAGGCACATACATCACCTAACCATTATTTAAAACAGCCGCGCCGGCCCTCCCGGCGCCCGACCACTGATCAAACAACTCTGCCGACTATAGCGGTGCGCGTGCATTCACCTTTCAATACCGCCTCGTCCCGCAATATACCCCCGACGTTCTAGTCGCCTTCTTCTACCTTCTCTCCCCACCTCCCGGCTCCCTCCACGACCCCGTCGATCCAAAGAAACTAATTCTGGTCGGCGAATCCGGCGGCGCAAACCTCCACCTCGGTCTCCTCCAATTCCTCCAATCCCTCCGCCGCTCCGCCCGCAAATCCGGAATCGCAAACCCAAAAATCCGTTTCCACGGCAGAGACATCCCCATCGAGATGCCCGGGGGTTGCGCATTGATAAGTCCTGGCGTCGACCTCGCATTGTCACTTACCATCCGTAAAGAAATTCGAGCCATTCGACTGGTTATCTGAGGGTGCACCGTGGCTCCAGGCTAACTTCCCAGCGGACTCTATCTGGCCTTCCGATCCACCGAGAGGGGACTTGCACTGTGACAATTCTGCGCTGTGTCACCCGCTCATCGACCCTTCGACGTGGACGGATTGGGAGGGTATGCCACCGATGTGGATTGCGTGCGGCGAGGAGACGTATTCCGACGGGATCAAGTTCCTAGTTAGGAATATCAATGCGTCCGGTGTTCCGGTGACGTTCGTGGAGTACGAGTTCATGCCGCACGTTTGGAATGTGGTCATTCCTTCCTTACCTCAGAGTCGGCACGCTATGAAACTTTGGGGTGAGGCTTGTAAGGAGCTTGGTGCGACTGATGATCGCGCCAAAGAAAGAAAGTCAGAGGCTTGGTTTGTCAAGTTGGGCAAGTTGGAAATGGTTAAGCGGGACTTTGAGAGGCTGTTGGATATTCCTAATGATGAGGTGTTGAGGAGGATGAGGGCCACTAGGGATGAACTGGCCAAGTATGTTTGGAAGGGGCCGGCTGTTGGGTATGCGAAGTTGTGATATATACTCTGTCATATTGACTCCTATATAAGTTGTATGTACATACGATAACCTTATAAACTGATGATCATCTACTCGCAAGACAAGCCTCAATAACACTCTGCTGATCCACCGGCACCGACCAGACCTCCACGAGCCTCAAAGGCGGCTCCACCCTGGCCAACAACTCCTTCCACTGCGTATACGTCCGCTCCATGCCGTTGGACAGGAACAGCATCAGCATGTCCATGTCTGCCCTCACGAGAGTCTCGTTCGTGTCTGCGAGGACTATCTCGTTGATCAGGAGGCGCGAGTGAGGCGCCATTGCTTTGGCGGTGTTGGAAAGGATCTTTCGGGCGGCGATGTCGTCCCAGTCGTGGAGGACGGATTTGAGGTAGTAGATATCGGCTCCTGGGCAATACAAGTCAGGTCTCATTTTTTATCAAGATAGATATTTGTACCGTGTTGCGGACACTCACCCTTCACAGGCTGCTCAGTAAAGAAATCGTACACTGTAGGCTTGATCCTCGGATCCAGCGGCCCCGGGATCCCCTTCAGAGTCTCCGGCAGATCCTGCAGGATCAGTTCACAGTCCAAGTCGGGAAAGCTGTCGGCAAAACGCTGCAGATCGACACCCTGATTGCCGCCGATATCGACGATAACAACAGGCCTTGCATCGACTTGCCGCGAAGCGACTAGCCGCTCTTTGGCCGGATACTTTACATGCCAGGGGATCGACAGCATTTTGTTGCGAGCGGTCATGTTATCGTCGAACCCCTTTTTCCATTCGGCGTCCTTCTTGAGGGTCTCCCAGACGGTCTCGCCCATGGCGAAGTCGTATGCCGGGGGCGTCTGGCTAATGTTACAGGGCTTGTTTTGTCGGAGGTACTGTCGCATTTTGCTTGCTAATGGGTATATCATCTCATTGCTGCATAAGCATTCAGCATAGAGTTATCGTCGTATCGTCAGTGCAGGCGCCAACTTACGACAGAATCAGACCTCCTGCCGAGCCTGGATCGCTTTGGCAGACCGTCTTAGCGTTTGCTGTGTAGGTTTGGTATCCTGTCTCGTCGGCGAAGCCAATCGCGGTCATAATTCGCATGACGCGAGCTTTGGAGGCATTAGTACAGAGTATTCTCATCGATCGGACTGCGATTCTCACCTATGAAGAGCTCATCGTATCCCGAGGCATTGGCCAATTCCGCAGCAGTCAGGCTCTTGCCTTGCTTTGCGGCCAGCAGCTGGAGGAGGCCCATTTCGAGGGCTGCAACGATGCAAACATTCTGGACTGTCTTTTCGCCTGTCAGTCCGACTTGCCTGTTAAAGTGCGATACGGGTGAACGTATGTACATGAAATCGTTGCTTCATGATGAACACCTCAGGAGGTTCAGTTGCTCGACGCAACTTCTCCATGACATTTTGAATCCGGATCCATGCTGCTTTGTCATTTTTTTTTAAAAAAAAAACAACGATAACATGCCAAGTGTCATCATCAATACAGTCAAATGAAACATAAAGCAAAAAAGAAATAAAAAAAATTATGCAACAGCTGGGATTCACTGGTGGTCATCCACCCAACTACTAACCAGCCAGCATGTGGCTTACGGGCGGCCAATTCTCGCCTGGGTGCTGTCCAGCACGTAATGCCACTTTACAGTTGCGCAACTAAATGTGAGTGAGTCTAGCTAAGTGTGTGAGCAACAGGTGAGGCCTTAGGCATTCCTTACCTAGCATAGCACAACTGCAGTTCAATGTTACCTACCCTAAACTTTGCACACAACTACTTAAAGGGACACTCAAGAGCAACAATTTTCCTGTTCTAAAGTAGATATAAAGCGCTGTGTTTGGCACAAAATCATTATTAGGGTAGCTGAACTGGATGGATAACGTGTTTTCTTTCGAATGAACAAAGTGGGGAGAGCCTACAGGGTCTTTCATCTACATACAGCTTTGGTGGTGGATTTGAATGCATACTCCATACTGGTATGAAGTCCCCCCCCAAAAAAATCATGCAGCCTGATCTACCAAAAGAAAGAAATACTCCTGGAATATATTGTTGTTGTGCTAGTCATTGGCTTCGTCGTGGTTCGAATAAGTTAGTATATTAGGATAAGTATTCGAAGGGCCTGCCTATCTTCATGTTCCTCAGAAATCCTCTATTCTGATGTCAGTTGATAAGAATTAGCTTGCATAAATAGCAATGCTTAATCAATTAGACTCTACATATCCATAGATCCTTGAACTGCTTTTTTTTAATATTATTTCACTCAAAAGCAACTATGCGCATCGCCACCACGCCCCATCAATCCAAAGCGCCAGCCCCTTTCTCCTTGAACCAGCTTCACACTTACTCTTTTCGCCATCGCGGCCCAACTATTCATACTATTACTGTTAATACTGTCAGCATCCTCCTCCGTCTCCTCCAGAAGCGCCTTGTCCTCTGCATTGATAGCGAACAGGGCAGCCAGTGCGGAGCCCTTCACGACCTCTATCTTCAACCTCGTGGATTCGATGATTACGCCGAGTAAAACGACTTGGATGGCGAGAAATGCTAGGTAGCCCCACCGAATGCTGATGAAATTTTCGATTTGAAGGGCAGTGTCTGTCTGGTTGGAACCAGCCAGGGAGCGAAGTCTGTTTTCATTTGACGGTAAGTAAATGAACAAAAAAAGAGAGAGAGAGAGCGGGATTGAAGATTGCACCAGTATACCTATTACTGGTTAAAAAGATGGGTGCAAAGGAACACTTACACATTAGTCAAGCTGATAGCAATGTTCTGCATCATACCCAGGATGGCTTGACACATCTGATCCTCTCCGCCATACCTGGGATACCCGCCTTGTGATGGTGGCATATAGAGAGCCATCCCCAAGGCCATGCTAAGGGGGGTAAGCCCATAACCCATGGTCGGCTGGTCCAATACATAGACGCCAGAGAAAAGGGACAAGATCGGATTACGAACAATAATGTACACAGCCAACAGGCCGTATAGTTGTGTCGGTCCCCCGGGCCCGCCAAAGCCACTGTCTCCTCTGAGTTGGCAACAAAGACCACATCTGTAGACGATGAGGTGCGATTCGTATATGTAGTCCCATTCACAGTATCGATTTTATATGATTCGACGCAGAAGTGAAATAGAATCTCGACGACTGCGAACGTAATTGACTCTGAACTGTTATCAACATAAATAATTGAAACATCGATAAGTTCGGTCTGCAAGAGGTCTATCTGGTTTGAAAAAGACAGAGTTTGGCTTGTAGATGGATAATCCAGCATCAGATAACTCGGGCGCGCTGTTATATTAATCAGCCAGGGTAGTGGGGGAGTATCCAAAGAATGGCCGTTTGGGAGGGTTGCATTAGGAGATTGAACGGCAGATACATTCAGCTGGTCGGTGACATCGTTCATCGAGGCACAGATTGCGAGTGAGTTGAACGGTAACCATTGACAGTTCCCGGTGCTGCAGGTCGCTGCAAGATGGGCGTATGTCTGGTCCACTGGAGTGAATATCGCCTCCATAAACGGCGGCAGAATTCCGTTCTGAATAAAATATAAAGAGGCTGGCATCAAAAGGTCAGCATCGGCAAAAAAAAAAACTCTATCGAAGCAGTATATCAAACCATTCTGAAAGGATGGGAGTCTTGCGACAGTGGCGACACCGTCCACTGGCGCATAACGGGTTGACGAGGTGATCACAGCCTGGGTACTCGTCAACGTGACGACCGAACTCGCCAAGATCGCAGCGGCTTGGATGGAAGAGATGCTGGAAAGAGGTTCAGCACGGAGATAGACACGGGTTCAGGAACAGCTTACCGCCCCCTGGTCGCCGCAAGAAGCCTGATACTTCCCACCGCCCCTCTGCTCGCCTCGTCAAAGGCCTCGAAATGTACTAATGGTCTCTTCTTCCTGACAAACCAATTCCATTTCAGCTGTGAGAGGCCCTGCAGGACCGGATAGACAAAAGCGGCCTTGCACATAGTAGTCAAGAAGGCCCAGCAGGGTGTTCAGAGTGATGCCCAGAGGCAGCGCCGGGACGGGCTGCTGGTCATATTGTTTGAGAAGAATGACTACCCCGACCAGACAGACAATGCTCGTAATGCAGGAGAGAATCTCGAGAAGCCACGCACGAGACCAAGACTGCGAAGACCTCTTGGGCGTCTCTTGGTAAGGGGGCTTTTTCTGCAGCCGACGCGGCCTGCGGTCGTCAAGAAGTGTATCAGGTTCGGTGAAGCGACTGGACTCATCCTGCTCGAACGGTTGTGGGATGCCATCTGATCGAGCTGATAGGAGCGACGGTCTGGCTCTGTTTGTTCGCATGTGTCTTTCCATCAGTTATACTCCAGACCAAGTGATTAGGACCATTTCAGGATTCTGTAACTTCCGAAAGCCACGAAACAGATGCCGTTCAGCTGTAGAGGCATCATTATATTGACGCGAGGCTAGAATCGCCCGACGTGGAGGAGAAGGGAAATTATCAGGTGTGAGGCTGAGGTTTTCCACCTGCAAGGCTAGCCCATATAGAGGCTCTTTGCAAGCGCCAAACACGCTGACTGAGGCACATGCATCCAACCAGGTGAGGCTATAAAGCGTCCGCAGCAGCCACAATGTGCTTGCAGCGACCAACACACTGTTCGACCGCAGCCAATCCGCCGATGCATCTTGTATTTAGTGGCAGGCTCTAAACGAAAATTTCAAATGATATCTTTTTAGTTATTTTAAGGTCACGGATCTAATAATAATAGAGGGCGGCCAAGCTTTTGCCAAATCAGTGATCTAGGATTTAACCTAGACAGAGTGCCGGGTAGTGTCTCGACTGACATATTCTTAAGTGACCAGGGATGATTCTCCATGAGGCATGTTGCTTGCTCTTGCTTCGTCATGCACGAGTGATGACCCATCTTGTTGGTGCGGAGAAGACGGGGGTGTCTCGATCAAATTGGTGGTATGGACCTCTTAGTATATTCTGTGCGTACATGTATGTACATGTTGAACAGAAGATCTCATCTCCAGTTTTAGTAGTATTCTTTCTGGCACAACGATTTTAGCGAAGGTGGCACGAATCAACGTAAGCAGATACTTGACCTGGCTTTATCTACTTTCCTGGAATCTAATTCCACCAGATTAAGAAGATAGGATATGAGGCTTATACATATAATCCTTGAACCTTAGTAATGTAGAGGCATTATCTGTCCGGGATAGAACAGTTGCAGATCAAGTAGCTAGGATGTTGCCACGATAAAGTTCCATATGGGACAGCGAAGCTTGTCTATTCAACCATGAAGTAAAGTAAAAGACCATTTTCTCATTTGTCAGGAGCGGACCAATCTCGACAGTGTAGCTGTGATACTGCTAGCAGTTTCAACAGGCGGTATATGTTCTTCTTCAAGATAATGAATGGGATATCACCAGCACGGGTATCGACGAAGCAGAGAGCTCTCATATCACGTAATGCTAATGTGACTGAAGTACAAAGCAACTATGGTATCAATAAACAGTTCGTGAAAAAAAAAGGGACCGATAGCTAGTAGAAAGCCCAAAGATGGGTAAAGGTCCAAGTATAGCTGAGAGGATCAAAGTCATACTGATCAGGTGGTGCAGCAGGACAGATAAAGGGTGCCTGAAGGGTGAACAGGGCAGCAATAGGTGCTAACAGGATCATCCAACAGCCAGAAATAAAAAAATGAAAGCATGCAGCAGCTGGGATTCGCTGGTAGTCACCCACCCAACTACTAACCAGCCGGCGTGTGGCTTAAGTACGGCTGAGCGGACGGGAAGCCCTGTTCTCCACACCCTATGGCCGCATGCAGTAGATGATTCTGGTCAAGGGATTATATAGAAGGAATAGAGGCAGGAAAGCCGAGCTGTCTGGCGTTGCAAAGGCGCTGTACACACCTTGTTAGACCCTATCTCTTGTTGGAGGACGATTCATTCCCTTTTTTAGAGAATCTTGCAGGATAAGTGTGTGTGTCTCAAGGAAGTCCATTACATGTACGGAGTATACATCTGTAGGTAATGCTAATGCTACATGATTGAAGTATAAAGCAACTATGCTATTAGTAAACAGTTTAAATATACTCCGTATGCAGGTGACTGCGGGGCCGATAGCTTGAACAGACTAAAGGCGGGAGCCGTTAAACACCTTTCATGCATGCTTGGCGCGGAGCAAGCTTCAAAGTACTGCAACACAGCTTACAGCATCCTTTCTGTCTATTTTTCTAGAACCAAGTTTAGTTCACTCGCAATCTATGGACCGCAACTATGGCCCCAATGGCGAATAGTACCTCCAAGGAAGCGACTGTGGAAGACGTGCCCGATGAAACGGACGTCGCAAATCCCGATTCCTGGGCTGAGGTAGAAGAACCTGAACTGAACTCTTCTGAAACCTAATTGCTGACATGCTCCTTCCTTTATGCGCAGACGCTGTCCCAGCATGAGTCCTGCCTTGCTTCGCACTTGGATCTCGTCAATTCGCTGAAAGCCTGCGTTGGACAGAACGATAATGCGGCTCAAACAATATCTTCGATCATCAACAGCACAAAGAAACTGATGGAGCAATGTGCCATGATCAGGAAGCAATTCGTATGCAACGCACTTCCGACCATGACACATAATATCGAGCTTGCTAATTCATGTCTCTCTAGATCTCTCTAAGCGGTAATCGGAACACTCACGCGGACGACCAAGAGAAAGATCCCCACGAGCGACCTAGACGGAAGCTGAAGGCCATGAAAACGCGAAAAGGTCCAACTCGAAGCGCAGGCAAAGCATCCGCGACGACAAGCGATTCAGAGGCGCAAAATCGAAACGGGCGACCGTCGCCTTTCACTACAAGCTCTGGAGATACATCGGGTTCCGTGCCAGAGAAGCTATGGCCGGGTGAGAAGCGAACCTGGACGGAGGAGGATTCAGAGGCGCCGGAAACCGCGGATCATTTGCAGAAGCGCCAGAGGACGAAGCGTAAAATCCCGGGTGCCGATGAAGACGTCAAGGATGTCACGCCTGTCGCAATGCAGACCGAAGATATATCAGACGAGGTGGAACGACGGCTGAAGCTCAAGGAGGAGCGGCGCAAGAAGTGGAACAGCAAGCCGGAGAAGAAGAGAAAGCGAGACAGCACTCCAAGCGGGATTGTGGAAAAGAAGCCAAAGACAGTGTCTGAAAATGGTGATAGCAAGTCGTGACGGAGCTTAAATAGCTGCACTGGCGCAGACCATCTCAAGAACGCATCTAGCAGGCAGATGGGACGAACTCGCTTCAATATCAAGTGCCCGAAGTGAATGCTGAAGTGAAAGGGAATGAAGGCCCTAACTTATCAACTTCGCCTTTTCAGAGCCGAGAGATTCTGGTCAGTAACTGGTTCCTGTATACGCAAGATGTCTCCTAACCTGTTCTTTTTTGCAGTCCGTACTTTCTTCGGCAGGAACCGAGGAAACGACTTGACATTCTAGTTCGCAGGCAGTGACGAGTGATGCCTATCTATGCGCTTGTGTCCTGCCTATGCCGGTTCATTCCGCAGCGTATTCTGCCTTACTTGGCCGAAATACGTCATTGACTGAACATGGCATTCATTCCTGACGGCATTCACCGTTTTGCGGGAGTAACGCGGGGAATCCGGGGAAGCTGGTTCCACGGTTTCATCCAGGCAGTTCTAAATGACTCTTATGCCTATTGTCCCTGGTCCGTTTCTGGGTCTGGAGAGGTATAAATACGGTCGTGCTTGACCCTGCATTCTCTCTTCTTCCTTCCTACAACAAGAATCTCATCAAATCCACTGCATGAGCACGCTTATACTATACTGCTACTGCTCCTGCTTGAAAGGATCGCATCGAATAACACTCCAGAGATCCAAACAAAGCTTCTTAAACAAACATCTTAACAACACCTTCAAAAACCTTTCTCAAGAAGAAAACCCCAATCTTCCAAGAAACTTGGTCCAAAAGGACCACCTCAAAAAATTCCACAAAAGAAGCACTCTTCATCCGCTTTTATTCAGCTGAGCAAGAAGTGTCAAAATGGCGCTCAACGCCAATAATTTCATTCTCGAACTTCAAAATTATCTCTTGAGCGGCTTGAGATCTCAGCGGTCGCCCGGAAAGAACAGCAAAAGATATTGGCGGTCATGCAATGTATTGACGGTATGTTCCGGCTTCCCTTCATCATGCAGCCATCTTATGAATTCGGATCTAACGTCTTTGTCTAGCCTTGTCAAACGAATCCCGAGCGAATCAAAGTAATTATCCACATCAGGGTTGCTCGATCAACGATCCACAAAAAGCGACGTTCACAAATTCGGAGTGGTCGCCTGGAAAAAAGGCAGTGGAAGGGGCCGCGTGAAGTAGGTGATGTATCCTTTGTTGAAAATACAATGTGCTAACTCTTCTACCAGCCCTTCCCCGTCCTGACAGACGCAATTCGCATCGCTCAGGGTGCGACAGAGGAAGACGCGCTCCTGGCGGATGACAGATTGGCAATCCAGAGCTCCTGCCAAGCTCTCAGCGTCTCTCAAACGGCGTATCCTTGGAATCGCGAGGGGCTGGACTCCCCAGCACCCATGGTGATACACTATGGGGGTTTCATTGACCAGATGGTCGCACCCTTGTACTCATCACCAAGGGATGACTGTTCAGAAGAACTCGTCCGTCAGATGGCGGCGCTACAAGTAAGCGAATCTCCTCATACCTCTATTTGATCTAATACTGACCTTTCTTTAGCTGTCGTCTCCATCAAACGACATTCCTGAACCCCAATTCATCCACCTGAGGCGACGGCTCCCATGGTACAAGACATTTTTTCCTCCAAGACAGGTGCGAGAGATCGAAGACGCCTTTGCCAAGATCTCATCCAAACGAGATCAGTACAAGCGACAACAACTCAGAAAAAGGCACCGTGAAGTCATCGCGATCCAGTACCTGGAAGCCGTCAACGACCCAACGACGGATGAAGACGAACTTCGGATCAGGATGGCCGATCTTTCGTGCACCTTTTACCCTCGACCGGAAATCGAATGGCCAGGGATCGACTGGACCAGCAACATCACACCGACACGGATCCCAGCAAACGCCAAATGTCCCCACCGTCCGCAGGCACCAGAGCACCTTATGGCTGCCAAGGTACCGCTTCACAAGAGATACAAACCCAAGACGCCGTTGTTGAAGACTGTGCTGTGTCAGAATATGCGGAACTCGCTGGTCGACGGCTTTCGAGAACTTCGAGATCGACAGGCCGCAGCCAAAGCAGCCAAGGTTGAGCCGATCGATGTCGAGACAATCGAGGCTGTGGAGGCTGATCTACGCTGAGCGATATTGCGAGATTCATACGACGATCAGCGGCAGTCGTCTTGCGGCAACTACCGACATGCACACCAGAGGCTCGTTGAGCTGGATTAGAACGGGACTGGGATGGCATGTACTGTTGCAAGTCAGTGAGAAAGTGCATGCGGGATTGACATACACTCGTGTTGCATGCAGATGCAGGTCGGGGGTATATACCCCAAGACTATGCACATACATCCGTGAATACATAGATGGATGGCATCTAAAACCGGGCAGGATACGTCCTGTACTGAACAAACAATCACCATCATAATCATGTATCTAGATCAGAACATATCCAAGATACGCAGTATCCAAACGATTGGAAAGGTTTTCCTGGACTTATATCCATTCATCCGTGCACATACATATTTATGCTGAAGAGACATATTTCTTAGAACAGATGTATATGGGATATACATATCAAAATAATTATGCGGTATCTTCCAAAGTCATAGTACTGTGTTACAAGTACGCTAGTACCCAGGCAAATTAAATAAAAAATGGAAGCAATATTTTTTTTCTTGCTTTCTTGCTTTCTCCCTCTCTATTGTACATGAGTTCCTCTATTCAATCTAGCAATGAATATAATATACAATAAGCAAAGTAAATAATACATGACAGTAATAACCGACGTACATAACTGCTCTGTTCTGTTCCGTTCCGTTCGGTTCCGTTCCCCGATTGATGGGATGTGATGTGATATGTATGCAGCTGTCGTTGTCAGAAAGCAAGGTAAAGTGAGTGAAGATTCTCATGATCATCAGAATCAGAATCAGTCAACAATCCGTTCGTTCTCTCTCTATGATTTCCCCGCAGAATCGTTTCTGCCATCATCTTTATTATCCGTCGTTGCTGTCGCCGTCGTCGACGAATCCTTCGTCGTCTTCCCCCAATTCCACACCTCCCAAATATGATCCAGAATCAAATCTCCATACCCCTTCCCTTCCTGCAACGCCTTCTGCTCCTCGCGCAGCCTCCGCTCCTTCCACCCTTCCGTCTCATTGCCCATCCAGATCCGCTCCGCGAGCGACCGCTCCTGCTGCTGCTGCCGCGCTTTCAGCTTCTCGATTTCCTCGCTGACTACGCCGCTGGCTTCGGCTTCGCGGATCTTGGCCTCGCGCGCGGCGCGTAGTTTGTTGTGGATTTCCTGCGCGCGGGCGCTGGGGAGGTCGTTTAGGAAGCCCCCTGTAGTACTTGACGAGGAGGAAGTATTGTTGGTGTTGATGGTGATGTTCTCGGTGTTGATGTCAGGCGCAAACCGCCTCCCTATCCCGTCGAGAATACCTCGTCCGTATCGCTCCCGGTACAGGTGGTTGGCAGAGACGACGAAGGCGCTTGACAGCGCGACCGTGTACAGGTCCAGTTTCCGTGGGGGCAGCGCAATAAGCACGGGGGACGCGACGACGAAGGTCCATGCGGCGTAGTGCTTGAAGCGGAGGTAGTCGGCGTAGCGGCGGGCGGCGATGTCGTCTGTAGAAGGGGGAGTAGTGGTGTCGGTTGTAGATGCCATTGTTGTTCGACTTGACCTCAGTTGTTTGATTCTTTTTTCTAGCAAAACAAGTAGATAATCTGTATTGAATTGATAAATGCAGTTCAAAGACAATTGATAGCAATGGGTGCCGTTTATGCGTATTTCATTGTTCTGAACAATTCAGAAATGATATCTGTACGCAAGCACCTACTTGCCTGTCGGCAAGATTGATTTGAAGGAGATAAATTTACGGAAGGCGTGGAAGACCACATGTGCGGTTTGGTCAGGTGACTGGAATACTCGACTCGACGACGATACTGTCAATTGAGTCGTCGTCCTTCTTTCTTTTGAATATTGAGTTTGTGTAGTAGTCATTTCACACTCCCTTTATTTATATATATAGCATTACTGCTGAGTAAACTGCTTGGAGTCCATTGAAAGGTATAACCGTATCTGGAGTGTACTGTATGTACTGTACAGTACAACAGCAGTCGTCCAATGTGTAGATACCATAGCTAGGAGGTAGTTAATGGTAATAGTAATATTCTGCAGCAGACCTGGCTGAAAAAGAAAATGATGCTACTCCGTAATCAGCGTTCTGACCGTTGAAAGGATTGGCTTCCTTGCCTGCTATACTGTACTGTACTGTATTGTACTCCGTAGTGTATGCTAGGTTTGATATTACTGCATAAAGATATACTCCGTCGAACGAACACTACAGTAATTACTATATTAAACTAGTACTGAGGCAGAGGCAGTAGGAAAGATACTACTACATACAGTACTCCGTACAAACTCAGAACGACAAATAGATAGGATTGTTGCGAGTTTTAGTCCTCAGAGTATTAGTTACGGAGTATTCCGTATACAACCCGCACCAAGAACGAATTGCATTATGCTCTTCTCTCTGGGTGGTAACGATATGATCTTCTCTTGTCTCATTATTAATTAATTATTACTCCATACAGAGTAACTACTCTAGTCGATCGTCATGCCATGGTTCATCTCCTCCTGCTGGATCATTCCCAAACAGTACGGATCGGCGATGGCAGACGGCGGACCGGCGCTCTCCGTATCTCGGCAAAAGCTTAGCTGAGCTTGAGCCTTGACCTCCGCCCAAGTAAGTCGTGGACTCGTGGCTGACACTGACCCGGTCACCCGTGTGATCGACAGGCTTCATATCATCATCGTCGTCAATTAATTAATTACAGAGTAATTCTGTTTGAGGGAGACTGTCTTACTGGGACAGACAAGACAACAGATAAGGTATTTCCTTTCCGAACAGCACTTGTGTGGACTGTGGAGGACCTCGTAATCTGATCTTTTGTGCGTCCCCAAATTTCAGCCTTACTGGGAACTGGGCCACATTCCACTGGCAGTGCTGGTCTGGTGCTGTGCAGTTGCAGGCGGTGACAAATGGGACGCGTGGTGGAGGCAGAGGCTGTGGATGACCCACAAATGAGGCCGTTCAAAGCGACTATATAAATAGCATCAGCCAATTCTGTAGGGCGATTCTTTTGTCTTCGATGGCTGGGCTGTTATAATCATTCTCGGGGGAGGAAATCTTGCTGCCTGTTTTGATCCAACATATCAGCATATCAGCACTGTGTCTGTGTCCTCTGTATGCAGTAATCTCACCTGGTGAAACGTTCCTGTGGACGGCCTGACTAGCATCGGGGGTCGGAAGTTGGAACTTGGAACGTGCAGGCTGCTGTGATTGGATTCGCCGTATCAGAGTCGGGAACCTTGGAAGATGGGAGTGGACTCTTAGATAATATTGGAACAATAATAATAATGACCTAGGCCCGTGCTAACGCTGGTCCTAACTTAGCGGGCGCCTTTTTTGATTAGGCCATCCTTCCAGCGACTCACCGTCCCTGCACGATCGTCATCGTGCCTCCACCCAGAGCCAACGGTGCCAGCTCTGACGCATGTAACCCGAGATTATCACTGTTCAGCTGGAATGGCCCTGTTATCTTGATGCTGAATTGAGTATGGAGAACTTCGTACTTGTACGCGTGGCCGCGACTGGACGTCTCCACGCCTATCCCACCGCCACTCGCAGTGGATCGGAGCTGGTGAACGGCCACAGCAGCCATACGTCGTAGTGATGGATGGATGGATTGACAGGTACCGAGCCCCCAGGGCGATTGGTTAATGGAAAATGGCTCAGGGGTCAATGACCACTGCCACTGCTCACTGCCGCTGATGTGGCTTGAGGCCGCTGCTGAGTGATGAATGACTGCGGACTGCTCCTTTAAATTGCGCTGGTCTCTCTCTCTCCTCCGTCCCCCAAGCTTTGTCTCAGCTGCACTTCCGTCCTGCCATTACCCAGACCTAGATCATCAGCCAGCTTCTCAGCTACACGCATCAATCATCCATCAATAATCAGTCAAAATGTTCGAGAACGGCATCTTCGGCTTCTTCAAGTCCTCCAACAAGGAGGAGTCTGCCCCCCAGCAGACCTGGAACCCCAACACCATGACCATGGAGCAGCCCACCAACTACGCTGGCAACAACAAGCAGGAGGTTGTGACTGAGCAGCCTGTACGTTTGACATCAACTTATCATTGCACAAGCAGTATGGCTAGGTTACTGACGTAATACAGTCCTCTCAGGAGCCCATGAAGCTGCGTGGTGGCGGTGAGGCCGGTGAGGTTTGCTGCGGAGTGTACGTCCCGTCCTGTCCATCAGTCTTTTTGCCTTGAGATGGATCTTTGCTTACTAACTCTTATCTCTCTTCAACAGTTGCGCCGGTCTGATGTGCTTCGAGTGCTTCGAGGACTGCTGCTGCTAGACGAGCTTCATCCATCATCCTCCTTATCTATCGTCAAAGCCATACCTGCCATCAGCGGAGCAAAGTTCGCCATTGATTGATTGACAACGAAGAGATACCTTTTGATGAAATTTTTCTTACATGTTTCTTTTATTTGATGATATGTTAGCAATACCTGCCTGCTTACCTACTTCATGATCGTTCATGTTCGATAGTCTACTACGTACGTACGGGTCAAGTCAATAAATAAATAAATAATGAAATACCTTTTGCTAGCTACCAGGTTAATGAGTACAGGGACAGGCTATTTGCTATTTTTGTAGAATTTTTTTGCCCTGCTATGAACAACAGTAGGAAGAACCTTAGCAAGAACCCCCCCCCNCTCTCTC